GGTATTGGAACCATCATCGCGCGTTACCATTTCGAGTGAAACTTTTTTCCCCGTTCACATCGAGACGCGAGGAAAGAAAAGACGACTTTTCGTGCCGATGGGTTCTTCTACCGATGATTTAAACTTTAAACCGTGGCAAAGTGATGGGAGACTCGCACGGCTCGCATAATAATTAATATATCTTAATACGATTTTAAGAATCGACTTTGTATAAGGCATCTCCAGGCACTGAACGTCGCTGGATGCTGCTACTCCTTAATTGGCGAACTCGCCGGCACTTTTTAGACGCCGCCATTAGGACGGGAAAGAGAGAAGAAGAAGACTTCCTCTTCTCTGCACCCGGGGCTGAACTCGACCATAAGAAGGAGATGCTGGTAGAGAATTCTTCAAGCACCGACGGCGACGGGTTCGTTTAAAGGGGATCGCGTTTTGCCGGAGTTATGCAGCCCTCTCTGAATTGCAACGAGATCGTGGTTGCCTCCCGGGTGCATGTGTCTCGCTTAAATAAACGCTTTATTTAAGAACCTCTCTCTTTCGACACGCAATAAAATGTGCATTTCGTCGCCGAAAACTGTCAAAATTTTTACCCTATTAAAATCTCAATTTTCTCATATTTATGGATTTTTTTTAGAAGACCTTACGTAAGAAAAATAATTATACTAAATATTAGATATGTGAAAAAATTGTATATGTATAATATCACCTTGTATAAAAATTATACATAATACTATTCTACATAAGATACTTAAATATCCATAAAAAATTTTATAAATATTAATATTTATTAATTATTTTAAATATTTTATGTAAAATAGTATTATATATAATTTTTTTAAAATAACAAAATATGAAATTTTTATAAATATTAATATTTATAAAAATTTCATATTTTGTTATTTTATAAAAATTATATATAATACTATTTTACATAAAATATTTAAAATAATTTCTATACTCGCTCCTGTAAATTCGAAGTGAATAGTTGCGATATACGCGGTCTTTTTTCGTCTGCTCGTGTACATAAGTAATTTATGAAGGGAACGTTTGCTCTTGCTTCAGTCGCACATACCGCTTTCGTGTAATTCGCGAACGGTTTTTCCGACCCGACAGCGTAATTGTCGGGCGAAGGGGATGAAAGAGAAGCCGAGGGAAATGGCATTATGGGAAGAAACGTACCTGTGTCGCGATCGCAAGAAACGCATTGCTACGCCGTGTTTCGTGATCTGGTGACACGAAGGAACGATGATGAATCGCTCTCTCTCTCTTTCTCTCTTTCTCTCTCTCTCTCTCTCTCTCTCTCGTTTCTTCCACAAATAATAAAAAGCAGTCGCGCATACGCAGCTAGTTTAAAAGCGACCTCAAACCACTGCAATTTTCGCCAGTATTTCTACTTTATTGCGTGATAATTTCGCAATATTTTAATTAAAATCTGTATATAAGAAATAATTATATTAAATGTTATACTACGTATTATAAAATTATATATAATATTACCTCCTTGCATAAAAATTACATATAAGATTATTTTCTGACATCAAATTTATATTTAAATATTTAGAAAAATTATATATAACACCTTGTATAAAAAAATATATATATAAAATATATTTAAAAAATTATATAATATTCTTAACTATTTTATAATATTACCTCCTTGCATAAAAATTACATATAAAATTATTTTCTGACATCAAATTTATATTTAAATATTTATATTTAAAAATATATATTTCAATATTTAGAAAAATTATATATAACAGCTTGTATAAAAAAAATATATATATAAAATATATATTTAAAAAATTATATATAATATTCTTAACTATTTTTAATGGCAAAATTAATGCTTTAGCTTGAGCTCCATAAATATACATGAACAATTTGGAGTCTTCCACAATCCTCGTGGATGTTTCTCATATTCCCCGAGGTAGCAACGCGTAATTGGTCCGCGAGGCGCAGTTTGCGAGTGACGTTGCATCGCATTGTGTGCAGCAGGGCACGCTCAGGCTCATCCGAAGAGGGGGTCCCGGCTTGTTTCTTCTTCTTGCTCCGCTTGCCGGGAGCGCACCAGCTTTCTTTCTCCCTCTTTCTCTCGCTTAAGGAACTTAATCTACCAGAAAATATGCAATCTAGATAATAACAGAGCCCCCGCTCGAGCGCGAGGTCATTATGGTTGTTATTAAACTTAAAATAACAATTTAGCGTTTAATTAGATTCGTTCGTGGGGGCCCGACGCCGCGCGGACACCCCTCTGAGAAGACTTACGCTTCTGTATATGGATAAAGTCCCTCGGCCCTTCTCTCAATTCTCCCACCTTTCGACGCGACTTCCGGCAAAATCTCATTATACCCGGCGCGCTGTCGTCGCGCGTCAACCGAATCGCTCTGGTGATGCTGCGTTTTTTGCAGAGCCGACATAAAGTTAAGGGGATGCTGACCATGACTATTTTACCGACTTTGAGTTCAAAGGCTTTTCTTTTTATTGACTATACAGATTGAAAAATCCTTCTCCATAATTAAAGTACTGATAATAATGACAGAAAGCGCTGTAATTTCGTATATAAAAACAATAAAAATTAAAATATTACAGTTTTTTTTATCGACCTCTTGCATCAGCTCATAACAATACTTATTTAATACAATAGTACTGCAGTTTATTTGTGCACAAAATATGGCGCTTCCAATAGAGATGATATGAAAGAATAATACAGAAGTAATAAAAATGAGATTAGAAGTCTGTATCAAAAGATTCGTACTAGAATTAAAATCAAAAGTAAACCTAACCTAACTTAAAGTCGGTAAAACAGAACAACGACACCATCCTCTTAACCGAATCGCTCTGGTAATGCTGAGTTTTTTGCAGAGCCGACATAAAGTTAAGGGGATGCTGACCATGACTATTTTACCGACTTTGAGTTCAAAGGCTTTTCTTTTTATTGACTATACAGATTGAAGAATCCTTCTCCACAACTAAAGTACTGATAATAATGACGGAAAGCGCTGTATTTCGTAAAAAAACAATAAAAGTTAAAATATTACAGTTTTTTTATCGACCTCTTGCATCAGCTCATAACAATACTTATTTAATACAATAGTACTGCAGTTTATTTGTGCACAAAATATGGCGCTTCCAATAGAGATGACATGAAAGAATAATACAGAAGTAATAAAAATGAGATTAGAAGTCTGTATCAAAAGATTCGTACTAGGATTAAAATCAAAATAAACCTAACCTAACTTAAAGTCGGTAAAACAGAACAACGACACCATCCTCTTAATCCTGTTTCTTTTAATTTTTTAAAAATTAATTTTTTTTTAATTTTCTAAACGTATATAATTTTATTTGATTTGTTTCATTGTCAGCTGAAGTGTAATACTATCCTAACAACTTTGACAGTCCGTATCATCATAGTAACCATGGGACTTATCTGAGAAGATACTAGCATCTGTGCAATTGACCAACTATGTAACTTGTCGAATTAAGTGCTATTTCACGCATGCCTAGTAAACAGCGATGTGTATGTATATACATGTATGTACATATATGTTGCGATCTATTAGCTTACATGTGGTTTCCTCAGTGCGACCTTGGAACGCGTTTACGTTCGTTGGTATCATTCAATGCCCTTTGGCAACTTGATCACCTTCGGTTAAATGTATTAATGAGTGATTATTGGCACATTTATCACATGTGTAATTTGAACTTTGATTAAAAGAAATAATCTATATATAACTCATACTCTATATTCTATACATAGATTAGATTTTTATATACATTTATAAAAGCATCATATCCAACATATACATATTTTGTAATTTAAATAGGCTGCTGACGCAAAATAACTAAAACTGGACAGTCATCTAATTTTAATAAAATAAGTACATATAATAAATGTAGCAGCAAATGCGATTGAAGAAAAGAACTGAAAAGTGCGTATGTTAAATTCTATTAGTAATTTTTTCCTATATAATCTTAAAATTCTATTTTAATCGAGATTTTCAAATTATTTGTAATGAAACATTAGAGTATCCTTAAAGAACATTTGTAACATTTTAATGATAATCAATGATAACTTTTGATGTTGCGGATAAATATTGATGCTCCAAAACTGCTGAACCGTAACTGAGCTGTCATTCAAAATTATCTCAGAATTTCTAACATAATAATATTGTTTTGTCAATTTCATCAGTTTGTGCACGCAAATCGCTCTCTTAAATCCATGGTCTAATCTCTTTGATGGAGTGTTCTCTATTTTCATCAGATTCATTTAAAACCTCCGCTGCATATTCCTTTTGTTCACTTGTCATCTTAAGCGAACTATCGTAATTTTGACAGTTCGTCATCGTAACAATGATAATAACCACATAACTTTATTCCCTGAGAATACACTCGTGTCTGCGATTCACTATAAAATATACTGCATAATTTAAGCCAGATGATTCTGCCTCGCGCATGCGTGGCAGACTAATAGCAATGTGTATTTGTGTGCCTGCTCGTCGTGCGTTTTTAACACAATTAGATCGTGCCTACATAAATATTTATCAACTCTACACACACAGCAAACCAAAAATTAAAAGTTTCAATATATTTATTATATAGTTAATAAGAAAAGCAGAGAAAAGATTTTAAGAAATAAAAAAGGAAATAATCAGCAGATGTTCTCGTGCTTGTATAAGTTATAAATAAAAATTAAAAAAAAAACAAATATAAAAAAAAATGCACACAATTTAGACGAAACAAATTAATTTGAAAAATAAAATTATTTTGAATGCATATATTACTGATATAAAAATAATGCTACATATTAAATAGTTCATACATAAAACTCATATACATATGTATAACATATAATAAAATTTATATAATATATATGTGTATACAAAATGTGTACAAAATATATATATATATATATATATATATATATATATATATATTATATATATATATATGATTAATAAAATTAGTATAATTAGTAAAATAATTTTTAAAAAAGATCTTAATTTATTTTGCGCTAAACAGCAGCGATTTTATTATATTATTTATCCTTTCCCAATGCCGCTTTTTCAATTTCACACAATTTCAACTCGATGCTTTATGCGTGAAACTGATTTGGTACTATTTGAGCTACTATTTTAAAATTGGTTTATAATTTTCATCATCAATAAAATATTCGCGATTCTCTTCGACTACTTTCTGCCAATATTCTGCAAATATAAAAAATTATATTACATAATGAAATGTGTAAACATATTCAAATATATGTACATAAATTAAACGCTCACATCGTTATCAGATGTAAAAAATGTTATGTAAGTAATGATTTAAAACACTTTAATTGAGTATGTAAAAAAGAAAAAAAATCGTTGCGTTTGTTTCTCTTTGCAACTGTTATTAAACAACAAAAAATCTTTTATTTTATATATAACAATTAAGTTTATTCTTTTGTCCTAATTACCTATTAATTCTTGAGTTGTACCATCAGTACCGCCATATTCGATCGGTAAAATATTAGCCGGCACATTTTTTAAGCAATCATGCGTCGTCTTGTGCGAATAGACATGAAACCTTTCCTTCAGTTTGTTGTTCAAAAAATACCTGGCAATCGTCATAACAAATTTGGCATATTCCGGCGTGTTAATACTATTAAGTGACCGAATTCTTATGGGATAGCATCCCTGCACTCCATGAACTAGGTGCCATACAATGTTAGGTCTCAATTGAGCAATATGGCGCAAAGTTGCATGTTGAAAATCCATAATTACTGCTAAACCGTATAAGGATGCTTCCACATTGTCCTTGAAAGCCACTTCTAATATTAATATTAAAATCTAAAAATCATATCCAAATATGAATAAAGTACCTATCGCTTCAAAATACTCATCACTTTTAATTAACATAATTTTTTGTGATTTTTATGTGATACTCGCACCAGTGTTATTATTAATAATACCTTTATTCCTTCTGATATTGTAAATACGTCTGGATCATACGAAGCGCGCACAATGAAAACCATTCTTCCTTGATTGTCTAATTTACGCAATGGTAAACAAATTCTAAACGCAAAATATTTTTAATGTTTTAAAAAAATATTTATATTTAATTTTGCAGTGAATATATGGAATGCGTTTAGTAAAAGAACTATTGTCAATAAGATGTGCTAAGTTTTCAAGTTTTCGATATATATACATATATATAAGTAATCATTATGATATAGTGATTAATATATTTTATAAAAAAGTGGAAAAAGTATTTTAATAAAGATTCAATTTTAGAATAATCAAAAAATTAATTATTGAACCAAAATTATGACTGTATAAAACGACAAAATTCTGTGTCACAAAATAGGTAAAAAACTTTTGAGAATGGATATAAATTATGACGATCTAATAACTAATTAGTTACAAGAGTTTAAAAATTATTGCAAAAATTGTGATTAATACTTAATAGACCAGCTTTAATAAATCTTAGAATTTTTGTAATATTTTAAAATATTATTACCCCAAACTAAGCAATTCCTGCAGTCTTGGTTGTAATGGATCTAGATTCGAACACCATTCTGGTCGGCTAAATCGTACTTTTTGAAAATTTTGTATCCTGGTCTTTGCTTTCTCTGTGTCAAATTTGCAGACTCTCAAAAATCGCAATATAAAAAATTCATCTGTATAAAAATTAACATTTTCCATCAAATAAAAAATCGTAATCGAAATAATACTAAATATATACAATAGGAATACATAATGTCATAACTTTGGAGATGGCAAATGTACCTAAAATATTCTTTTTAATAGAATGATTAATGACTTTCATTCACTATATTATATCTGAGAGAAAAAAGAATAAACATTAATTATTTAAATTATCATAATTAAATTTCTTTCTAAAATATTATAATATCAAATATTATACTTGTAAATTGCAAACTTATTATTAATCTTGTTCATTAAGAGACATATATATGAAGAATAGTTTTTTTATCACGTTTCATATCAACTGCTGAATAAGAGTCTCATAATTTTCAATATGTAAGTTAACAAAAAAGCATCGCAAAATGATGTATTATATAACATCAGGGAATACATGCACATAATGCATATTATGGCAAATATTCACATTTATAAATATAGATTTACGAATTCTATTTTGAGATTGTCAAATTAATTCTTTTTTGTAATAATGTAAAATCATGTAAAAATTTCTCACTTATTTCTCAGTGAAAGAAACGAATTTTACATAATCTCACTTTTATAATTCAGATTAATGCGTTAATGCTAGTTAATGATAACTTTTCAAACTCTGGGTTATAATTTTAATGCTGCGGAACTGATGAACTGTAACTGAACAGTTATTAGAATCTCTGACAATGCTATTTTTACCAGTTCGCGCACGCAAATCACTCTCTTGAATCCATCGTTTAATCTCTGCGATGGCATTTCCTCTATTTTCGTCGGATTCATTTAAAACCTTCGCAGCGTATTCCTTTTGCTCGCTTGTCAACTTGTGTAAAAAACAACTATCGGAACAGTTTTGAGAATCTGTCATCGTAACAATAACAACGAAACTCGAATCTAATGACACCTTATACACTGATAATCAGAAGCCACTTGCATCTGCGACAGACTGAAGCGTACTATTTATTAACCGAGGCAGCAAGTTCCCGCATGCGCAGCGATAGTGACATAAATATATATGTGTAAATGCTTACTTAGCATATCCTTACTTTTAATTAGAATGTCATTACATTGATCTTGCATATATGAATTATTACTTCTTTGACAGACCATGTAAGTTATGTTAATTCACAAAATTTTTATTTTTTCGAATTATACATATACAATAAGTTTAAATCCAATTAAAATAATGCTAAATATTTCGTGTATGTGGGTGTGTTATGTGTTATTTGTATATAAATTTTACATACTTATATAAATGTATATATGATTAATAACATTAACATAATAAGTAAAATTATTTTTAAAAAACCTTAATTTATTTTGCGCTGATAGCAGCGATTTTATTACATATATGTAAATATGTATATGTCCGCATGTATATCAGCTAAATTCATTTTAGACCGTGATATTTAATTCGTGCGGATTCAGCACTCTTCAGCTTTATCGTCTACGTCTCTTCTATACGTCTTCAAATAAATTGATTATATCGATATTATATTAAGACTCATTTCTGAGATGCTAAATATTAAAGAACAAAAAAATGGACTAAATTTAAACAAGGATACTGAGTTACTTAGCGAGTCGTATTTTGATATTTTGGATAAATTAGCGAACAATAAATAATAATAAGACAAATAAGACATTAACGATTTAAACATATGTATTAGATCATATATAAACACGCACACTCTCCGATCAAGTAGAGTTTAAAATGAGCTGTCTTTTTATATTGTTGGTTTTGTCGTGTGTCATCTTCAATAACTTTTTAAGACATGGTTAAAATTGTCAAGAAGGACAATGTTAGGTAAGCATATTGCTAATTGTTGGGGATATACCATATATTGTAATTTCGACATACGTTAATCGTTAATCTTTTATTAATCGCAGCGCCTACGGAACGTTCTAATTTCTCGCTTATTAATGACGAAACTTTTCGAGATCTGAATAAAATTAAAGATCATACCGAAACGAACATTGGTTTGACATTTTTCTACACATGATGGATTGAAACACGCGTTAACTGCTCATAAACTCTCGACTCTGCAGAACTAAAATTAATTTTTGACGTTATATGAATTTTTTTATGATTTTATATTTTAATAATATATTGAAGAAGACCGCGTGCGGTTGAAACGTTTATTTTAGAATGACTGTATTTTTGCGTTAGTTTTAATATTCAATGATTGTAGCTTAATAATTTATACATGAAATAAATGTTATTTGATTGAACAACTTGAATAATTGCTCGATAAGTTGGCCTTGCATTTATCACTTTTGGTTTTTCAATATACGAGCGCAACTTTGTATCAATTTATTTTAAAGCACATAAAGTTGTCCAGCAAACAAGCACGTGCACACATGCATATCGCTATCATAATATTACGCATGCGCGAAGGATAAGCTCGTTTTATAAAGCACGAAGTATTCTTCTGACAATCGCAGTTGTTTCCTCGATACAAAAGTGTCAATAGAAGAAATTCCGCAATTATTCTTACGATGGCTGAATCTCAAAATTCGTCCGATAAATTTCCGCTTAAGTTGACGGGTGAGTAAAAGGAGTACGCAGCGAAGGTTTTAAATGAATCTGACGAAGGTAGAGAAAACGCTATCGCAGAGATTAAACGATGGATTCAAGAGCGCGATTTGCGCGCACAAACTGGTAAAAATAATAGTTTTACTGATTCTATGATATTTTTTAAATGACAGTTTAGTTAGGATTCATCAGTTCTAGAACATTAAAATTAATCCACAGAATGAAAGTTGTCATTAAGTAGAATTAATACATTAATATGGAGTATAATGAAGCATAATGTTATATTATGTAAAATTTGTTTAGTTTTTGTGTTTATTAAAAAATAGGTGGTAATTGCTTACATAATTTTATTACAGAAAGGTAATTTGAAAATCTTAAAGTGAAATTTCTAAATTATCACGCAGGTATTTATCGTAAAATGTGCGCATTATGTTCGCGTATATCTTTCCTTGTTATATGTTAATTATCTTTTATATTTAGATTAACAGCATACTTAGAATTACGAGTTTCTTATTTAGCAATTATGATGTAAAAATAAAAACTGGTGCAAACAATCAATATAGATATTAATATTTCTTAATGCTCAATATTGATCTTTGCAATTTATAAATAAAACATTTCATACTACTAATATTGCATAGAGATACAAACAAAGTAATTAAATAATAATTTAAATAATAAGATTGACTATCTTTTGTCACATATACTTTATAGTAAAAGAAATGTTGTAATATATTACTCTTTTATTTTTTTTATTTTTTATTATTTTATTAATTAATTTATGTATATTTATATATTATTATATATTTATATATTTATGAAAATCTCTCCTCCAATTTTAAAGTCGACCAGACTGGCAATAATTTATTTTGAATAATTAGTTAAATTACAACGTTTCGGCTATCATTGCAGCCCTTTTCAAGTAATCAGATTAATACAATAAATCATATTCACACCAAATCCCCGACAAAATTAACCATTGTTTTGATGAACAATGTATAACTGACAGAAGTAAGCACGAAATAAATAGATGTTGACTGTTAGCAGGAAACTTAGTCACTTCCTTTAAAATTGGAGGAGAGATTTTCATTATTTATTACTGGCGACTCTTAAGGATTATCATTTGTTATATATTTATATTTATATAATTTATATTTATATACCTATATCGAAAAATTCAGAAGTAAAAATTTTTGAAAATTTAGCTTAATGATACTCCATAACGTTTACTTTATAGTTTCAACAAAAACATTTGCTATATTAGTTACAGAACTAAATATAAAAAAATTATAAGTATTTTAAAATACTTTGTTTACTCTTAGTATTTGTTTCTCTTTGCGAAAATTGGACGATCAAGGAAGATTGGTAATCATCATTCGTTTTGCGCATGACCCACACGCAATTACAGTAGCGGAAGCAGTTAAGGTATTATTTATAACAAAATTATTATAATATTATTAATATAATATGAAATTATATTAATAATATATAATAATTATGCTATTAATAATATTATAATAAAATATTAATAATATTATATTATAATATTCTTAATAGCACATTCGTGCGAATCTCACAAATATTATTGTACATTTATTTGAAGCGATCAAGGTATTTCGAATTCATTCATATTTCTGGACGGATTATTTTTTTTAAGTCGCAACTGTAATCATAGATCTGACCTTAAGAAACAGCGTCGAAGCATCCTCGTACGGTTTAGTGCTAATTATGGATTTAAGAGATATTACTTTGCGTCATATCGCTCAATTAACACCTTCCGTTGTAATGAGCGGGATTCACGCGTTGCAGGGTTGCTACCCCACAAGAATGAAATTGCTCAACTATATCAACGTGCCGGGATATGCTAATTTATTTCTGGAGCTTACCAAATTGTTTTTGAATAAAAAACTGAGGGAAAGATTTCATTTCTATTCGCGCCAGACGGCGCATGATTGTTTCAAAGATATGCCAGTTAATATTTTGCCGGTCGAATATGGCGGAACTGATGGTACAATTCAAGTATTAATAGATAATTATGGCAAAGTAATAAATTTATTTGTGATGCACAATAAAGGATTTTTTTCGTAGCGAATTAAAATAAAAGTCTTAATTCATATACTTGTATAGTGCCTACACATTTATATTGTGTAATGTGATTCCTTGTATTTACAGAATATTGGAAGAAAGTGATTGAAGAGAATCGCGAATGGCTTATCAATGATGAAAAATATAGACCAGTTTTGAATTAGTCATCAAAATTGAACGGAATAAACTGAAATATTTATATACACATTAATATATTTTAATGCACATCTAAAAAAAATATATATATTTTTTTTTTTTTTTTTTTTTTTTTGAGAAACAGCAGTAAGTAACGGAAAAAAGTAATTAATAAAATATTCAATTAATGCGCTCAAAATAAATATCTTTTATAAAAATTATGTACATGTATATTTATGTATATGTATGTATTTATGGAAACATATACATATGTAACATCTTTTAATATTTAGAATTATTTTATATGAGTAAAATTTATGCATACATAATTCTTAAAATAAATACAATTTTAATAAATTTACGAAATTTAATTTCACTACATTATAGATATATTTTTATAAAAAATCTTATTTCTTATGATCATTTTTTATGATTCATGTAACGAGAACTACCAACTAAAAACTGCTTTCTTTTCTTTCTTTCGATTTATAAATCTTATTTATAAATTTTTAATTGTCGGCTCTTTCTATAGAGAAAATTAATTTTCGCAAATAAACTGTTACAATATTATTATGAGAATATATAATTTATGTCTGACACAGGATTTATTTTTCCATACATATTTTGCGTAAGCGTATATACATGATTTTAAATAATAAAATTATATCGTTTTTTCCTAATATATATGCATATTTTTTAGAAAAATACTTGTAGAGATATGACTTACATGTCATGTGCAAATATATTTATCCTTGGTTATGATTACATATTTATTTAAATATTATCAATAATATTAATTCATTCAAAGATGATAAAGCTGATAGAGCGTTGAAGGTTCTCCGTACGAATACAATCACGGTCTATAACGAATACAGCACATGCACATGTCTAGTGAACAATCACGCATGTACACATGCATATCGTTATCATTATATTACGCATGCGCGAGGAACAAGATCATTTGATAAATCACGCAGTATTCTTCGGACATTTGCAGATGCGAGTGTCTTCTCGATACGAGAAGTGTCAATAGTTGAAGTTTTGCGATTATTGTTACGATGGCGGAATCTCAAAAATTGACGAGTGAGCAAAAGGAGTACGCAGCGAAGGTTTTGAATGAATCTGACGAAGGTAGAGAGAACGCTATCTCGGAGATTAAGCGATGGATTCAAGAGAGTGATTTGCGCGCACGAACTGGTATAAATAACATTGCTACGATTTTTTTAAATGACGTTTTAGATACGGTTCATTAGTTTCAGAACGTTAAAATTAATCTGGTGCAAAAAAGTTAACAGTAACATTATTACATTAATATGGATTATAATGGAATTTAATGTATTATTATGTAAAATTCGTTGAGTTTTTTGTTTATTAAAAAATAAGTGGCAAATTCTTACATGATTTAATTATTTAGTTACGGTTCATTAGTTTCGGAACGTTAAAATTAATTCGGTGCAAAAAAGTTAACAGTAGCATTATTACATTAATATGGATTATAATGAAGCTTAATGTATTATTATGTAAAATTCGTTGAGTTTTTTGTTTATTGAGAAATAAGTGGCAATTTTTAACATGATTTTATTATAGAAAGGTAATTTGATTAAAATTACCACACAAGTATTTATCGTAAAATGTGCGCAATTATGTTCGCGTATCTTTCCGTTTTATATAATCAATTTGCAATGTTTTTTTATATTAGACTAACAGCATACTTAAAATTACAAGATTATTATTCAGCAGTTATTATGTAAAATAAAAAAAAGTACAAACATTTAAACCATTATTAATATCTGTCAATGCTCAAGAGTGACATTTGCAATTCATAAATATAGTATTTGATACTGCGTAATATTGCAGGGAGATAGAAATAAAATAATTAGATATTCAAATAATAATTTTGACTCTTATTCTTTTCACATAGAGTATAGTGAACGAAATGTTTTATTATATTTTTCTTTCTATTAAAAAACATTGTTGGAGAAATATGCCGTTTCCAAAATTAGATTCATGTTCTTATATAAAAAAAAATTTATCCAGTATTATTTTGATTATGATTTTTAATTGGACGGGAAATGTTAATTTACGTACAGATGAACTTTTTATTTTGCGATTTTTGAGAGCCTGTAAGTTTGACATGGATAAAACTAAGACCAAAATAAAAAATTATCAAAAGCAGCGAACAAATCTATCGGAGTGGTATGGAAATAGAGATCCATTACAACAGAAACTGCAGGAATTGCTCGATTTGGGGTAATAAGTATCCAAAAATATTATTATAAGAATGCTGAGGTTAATGTGAACAATTTTACCTTTTTATTTATACTTCGATTATTTTATAGTCGAATTTTTATTCAAATGTCTTCTTTGTTTTATATTATTAACAATATTATTTTATTAATAATTACTGTTATATAGTATTTGTACCAAAAGCTGTAAAAAATATAAAATTTAAAAATGTAGTTTATTTTAATGATAATATAATTTTTTAAAAATAATATTCCATATATTCATCGTAAAACTAATTCTTTAGAATTTTGAAATATGTTGTGTGGATTTAGAATTTGTTTACCCTTACGAAAATTGGATAATCAAGGAAGAATGGTTTTTGTCGCGCGCCTTGTGCATGATCCAAATGTGTTTACATTATCAGAAGCAATTAAGGTATTATCAATAGCTTATTACTTATGCGAAAGATGTCATTAAATTAATTTAAAGCGATTCTTTGCATTTATTCAAGTTTTCGGACGGATTTTAGGTCTCATTAATGATCATAGATGTGGCCTTAAGAGACAGTGTTGAAGCATCTCTGTATGGTTTAGTAATAATTATAGATTTGGAACATGCATCCTTACGTCATGTGCCTCAAGCGAGACCTACTATTCTAATGAACATGGTTCATGCGTGGCAGGGTTGCTATCCCATAAGAATTCAGGTGATTAATCATATTAACACGCCGGAATATGCTAAATATGTTTTGTCGATTATCAGATATTTTTTGAGCAACAAATTGAAAGAAAGGTTTTTTGTGCATTCGCGCAATTCGGCGCATGACTGCTTCAAAGATGTGCCAGCTAATATTTTACCGGTCGAATATGGCGGTACTGATGGTACAATTCAAGAATTAATAGGTAATTACGAAAGAATAAACTTAATTGTGATATACTTGAACATTAAAGAATATTTAGCATTATTACAACATTTTAAGAGTCATTATTTACGTGTAACATTTTTTACAACTGATAATGATGTAAATATGAAATTTGTAACATGTATCTATAATTATATATCGTTTAAGCACATATATTTGGTATAATAATCTTTTATATTTACAGAATATTGGAAGAAAGTGATTGAAGAGAATCGCGAATGGTTTATCGAAGATGAAAATTATAAACCAATTTTGAAATCCTAATCCCCACAAATATTATAGTACCGAATTTGATTTCATGTATAAAACGTCGAGTTGAAATTATGTGACCTTGAAAAAACTGCTTGGGGAAGCGATTAAAAATAGTTAATAAAATAAAACCGCTGCTATTAACGCGCAAAATGAATTTATAACTTTTATAAAAATTATTCTATATATAAATGTATACATATTTTTTAATATTTAATATTGTTTTATATGAGTAAAATTTATACGTCCATTATTCTTAATAGAAATAAAATTTTATAAATTATCCAAATTTACTTCACTCAATTATACAGATTTATTTTTCATGGCGTTCTTATTTCTTATCTTCTTTTTCTGATCTTTTTTTATGCGTACAGCGAAAATCACTTTCTCCGAAAATTACTCTTTTTTCTTTGCAAACAAACTTTTATTTTTTGGTTCTTTATAGGATTTTTCCTTAATAAAGATGTGTCTATCTGAAGAATAGGATCATGAAAAAGACAATTTATATCTTACAAACATAGAATTACAGGATACTACGCTTTCTATAAATATCTCGCGTAAGCGCATAAATTATTTTTATCAAAAATTAACTAAATTATCAAGAATTAATTAAACTAATTTTATAAAGAATAAAGACAAAATAAAGACGAATGCTGGATATCTGCTGATTTATTAGATTAGTAATTCTTTTTTCTAATATATGTTTATTTTTTGAATAAATAAGGATTCCTTTTATCGGTTGTAATCATACTTTCATATTTAAATAAATATAATAAATTAATAAGTATATAAAGTATATAAATAAATAATTCATTTGAAGACGTGGAAGAGACGTAGACGATGAAGCTGAATAGGGTGCTGAATCCGCACGAATTTAATATCACGGTCTAGAATGAATTTAGCTGATACTTACAACACATACATATTTACACATATGTTGCTGCTATGCTGCGCATGCGCGAATCGCAAAATCGGGTGACATTTGACGTAATATATTCGCAGACGCGAGTGCTTCTTCCGTATGGAAAGTCAGTAGGTAAAGTTTCGTGACTATTATTGTTTGCTAAAATGCAGGAGTTCCAAAATTCTCACGATAGTATTTTGCATAATTTGACAAGCGAGCAAAAGGAATACGCAACGAAGGTTTTAAATGAATTTGACGAAAATCGAGACAGCGCCATCTCGGAGATTAAACAATGGATTCAAGAGAGTGATTTGCGTGCGCGAACTGGTAAAACAACTATACGGTATTACTATGTTAGAGAATTTAAAGTATTTTTTAATGACGGTTTAATTGGAGTTCATTAATTCCAGAACATAATTTATCCAAAACATGAAAAGTTATTATTATTGACTAGCATTAATATGGATTAGTATAATATGAGATTATATCAAACTCATTGAGTTTGTCTTGATGAATTAAAAAGTGCATTATGCACATTTATGACACGCATATCTTTTTGTCTTATAATTAATAAATGTGATTTTCTGATTTTACTTACATTGCGAGCATTTATTGAGCATTTGAAATTACGGGATTTTTATTCAGATTTTATGATATAAATACAAAAAAAAAGTATAAAAAAAATTATACAAATATTAATATCTGAATTGCGTACAAAATTGATCTTAACTATTTGCATTATTCATAAGTATAATATGTGATATCATAATATTGCAAGGCGATAAAAATTAAGTCATTAAATATTTAAAATATAATTTTAATTTTTTTTTCTTTCTCATAAATATGCAAGAGATCAATTAATATGTTATTCTTTTTACTAAAAATTATTAGGAAAAGTTGCCGTCTACAAAGCTATGCCATTCTAGACTCATGCTCTTATATGTATAATGTATCTAGTATTATTTTAATTATGATTTTTTATTTGAAGATAAATGTTAATTTATATACAGATGATTTCTTCATTTTGCGATTTTTGAGAACCTGCACTTTTAATATTGAGAAAACTAAGATCAAGATACGAAATTATCAAATGCAGCGAGCTAAACTACCGAAATGGTATCCGAATACAGATCCATTACAATCGAAACTACAGGAATTGCTCGATTTGGGGTAACAATATATTCCAAAGTGTTATTATAAAAATGCCAAAGTTTATGAATTTAAAAATTGTTAAATACTTTGTTTATGCTTAGAATTTTTTTACCCTTGCGAAAATTGGACAATCAAGGAAGATTGATTTTTGTCTCGCGTCTTGTACATGATCCAGACGTAATTACATTATCGGAAATAATTAAGGTATTATTTAATAGCATAATACTTGTGTCACAAACATTACGTTAATTTAAAGTGACACTTATACATTTATTTTTTCAGACCAATTATTTTTTAGGTCTCATCTATGATCGGAGATATAGCCTTAAGAGATAGCGTTGAAGCATCCTTGTATGGTGTATCATTAATTACAGATTTGGAACAATTAACTTTGCGTCATGTTACTCAAATGACACCTTCTTTTCTAATGAACGTGGTCCATATATGGCAGGAATGCTACCCCATGAGAATTCAGTCGCTTACTTTTATCAATATGCCGGAATATGGTAAATTTGTTTCGTCGATAACTAGATTTTTCTTGAGCAACAGACTGAAGGAAAAATTGCAAATCTATTCGCGCAAAACGACGCACGACTGTTTCAAAGATATGCCAGCTAATATTTTGCCAGTCGAATATGGCGGTACTGATGGTACAATTCAAGAATTAAAAGGTAATTACGACGAAAGAAAAAACTTAATTGTGATATACTTAAAGATTAAAAATTATCAACGTAATAATTACAACGTTTTAAGTCGTTATTTACGTAACATTTTTTACAGCTGATAATTATGTGAATATGAAATTTGTAACATATGTCTATAATTATATAGCGTTTAAGCGCTTATATTTTAATCTTTTATATTTACAGAATATTGGAAGAAAGTAGTTGAAGAGAATCGCGAATGGTTTATCGAAGATGAAAATTATAAACCAATTTTTAATTCTAATCCTCAAATATAGTACCGAATTTGATTTCATGTATAAAACGTCGAGTTGAAATTATGTGACCTTGAAAAAACTGCTTGAAGAAACGATTAAAAAAAGTTAATAAAATAAAACCGCTGCTATTAACGCGCGAAATGAATTTATAACTCTTATAAAAATTATTCTATATATAAATGTACACATATTTTTTAATATTTAATATTGTTTTATATGAGTAAAATTTATACGTTCATTATTCTTAATAGAAATGAAATTTTATAAATTATTCAAATTTATTTCACTCAATTATACAGATTTACTTTTCATGACATTCTTATTTCTTATCTTCTCTTTCTGATCTTTTTTATGCATACGGCAAAAATCACTATCTTTGAAGATTACTCTTTTTTCTTTACAAACAAACTTTTAATTTTTGGTTTTTTATAAAAATTTTTCCTTAATAAAGATGTGCCTATCTAAAGAATAGGATCATGAAAAAGACAATTTATATCTTACAAACATAGGATTACAGGATACTTCGCTTTCTATAAATATCTCGCGTAAGCGCATAAATTATTTTTATCAAGAATTAATTAAATTAATTTTATAAAGAGTAAACAAAATAAAGACGGATGCTGAATATCTGCTGACATTTATTAGATTGGCAATGCTTTTTTCTAATATATGTTTATTATGTGAAGAGATAAAGATTTTTTTATCGGTTATTATCACACTTTTATATATATTTATAAATAAATATCAATATAATCAATTTAAAAAGTGATAAAAGCAAGGCCAACTATCGAGCAATTATTCGATTTGTTCAATCAAATAACATTTATTTCATGTATAAATTATTAAGCTACAATCATTGAATATTAAAACTAACGCAAAAATACAGTCATTCTAAAATAAACGTTTCAACCGCACGCGGTCTTCTTCAGTATATTATTAAAATATAAAATCATAAAAAATTCATATAACGTCGAAAATTAATTTTAGCTCTTCAGAGTCGAGAGTTTATGAGCAGTTAACGCGTGTTTCAATCCATCATGTGTAGAAAAAATGTCAAACCAATGTTCATTATATTACGCATCTCCGCGATAGCATTTTCTCTACCTTCGTCAAATTCATTCCAAAACCTTCGCCGCGTACTCCTTTTGCTTACTCGTCAACTTTTGAGATTCCGCCATCGTAACAATAATCGCGGAACTTCAACTACTGACACTTCTCGTATCGAGAAGACACTTGCATCTGCAAATGTCCGAAGAATACTGCGTGATTTATCAAATGATCTTGTTCCTCGCGCATGCGTAATATAATGAACATATGGCCTCGATATGATCGTTGATTTTATTCAGATCTCGAAAAGTTTCATCGTTACTAAGCGAGAAATTAGAACGTTCCGTAGGTGCTGCGATTAATAAAAGATTAACGATTAACGTATGTCGAAATTACAATATATATTCCCAACAATTAGCAATATGCTTACCTAACATCGTCCTTCTTGACAATTTTAACCATGTCTTAAAAAAGTTATTGAAGATGACACACGACAAAACCAACAATATAAAAAGACAGCTCATTTTAAACTCTACTTGATCGAAGAGTGTCCGTGTTTATAAATGATCTAATACCTATGTGTAAACCGTTAATGTCCTATTTGTCTTATTATTATTTATTGTTCGCTAATTTATCCAAAATATCAAAATACGACTCGCTAAGTAACTCAGTATCTTTGTTTAAATTTAGCCCATTTTTTTGTTCTTTAATATGTAGCATCTCAGAAATGAGTCTTTTATAATAATTATTTTCAAAATCCATCGTTTAATCTCCGCGATAGCATTTTCTCTACCTTCGTCAAATTCATTCCAAAACCTTCGCCGCGTACTCCTTTTGCTTACTCGTCAACTTTTGAGATTCCGCCATCGTAACAATAATCGCGGAACTTCAACTACTGACACTTCTCGTATCGAGAAGACACTTGCATCTGCAAATGTCCGAAGAATACTGCGTGATTTATCAAATGATCTTGTTCCTCGCGCATGCGTAATATAATGATAACGATATGCATGTGTATATGCGTGATTGTTCACTGGACATGTGCATGTGCTGTATTCGTTACAGACCGTGATTGTATTCGTATGGAGAACCTTCAACGCTCTATCAGCTTTATCATCTTCGAATGAATTAATATTATTGATAATATTTTAATAAACATGTAATCATAACCAAGAATAAATATATTTGCACATGACATGTAAGTCATATCTCTACAAGTATTTTTCTAAAAAATATGTACATATATTAAGAAAAAACGATATAATTTTATTATTTAAAATCATGTATATACGCTTACGCAAAATATGTATGGAAAGAATAAATCCTGTGTCAGACATAAATTATATATTCTCATAATAATATTGTAACAGTTTATTTGCGAAAATTAATTTTCTCTATAAAAAGAGCCGACAATTAAAAATTTATAAATAAGATTTATAAATCAAAAGAAAGAAAAGAAAGCAGTTTTTAGTTAGTAGTTCTCGTTACATGAATCATAAAAGATGATCATAAAAAATAAGATTTTTTATAAAAATATATCTATAATGTAATGAAATTAAATTTCGTAAATTTATTATAATTGTATTTATTTTAAGAATTATGTATGCATAAATTTTACTCATATAAAATAATTCTAAATGTTAAAAAATGTTACATATGTATATGTATACATAAATGCATACATATACATAAATATATATGTACATAATTTTTATAAAAGATATTTATTTCGAGCGCATTAATTGAATATTTTATTAATTCCTTTTTTCCGTTACTTATTGCTGTTCTTAAAAAAAAAAAATATATATATATATTTTTTAGATGTGCATTAAAATATATTAATGTGTATATAAATATTTCAGTTTATTCTGTTCAATTTTGATGACTAATTCAGAACTGGTCTATATTTTTCATCATCGATAAGCCATTCGCGATTCTCTTCAATCACTTTCTTCCAATATTCTGTAAATACAAGGAATCACATTACACAATATAAATGTGTCGGCACTATACAAGTATATGATTAAAACTTTTATTTTAATTCGCTACAAAAAAAAATCCTTTATTGTGCATCACAAATAAATGTATTACTATGCCATAATTACCTATTAATTCTTGAATTGTACCATCAGTTCCGCCATATTCGACCGGCAAAATATTAACTGGCATATCTTTGAAACAATCATGCGTTGTTTGGCGCGAATAGAAACAGAATCTTTCCCTCAACTCTTTATTCAAAAAAAGTGTGGTAAACTTCATTATAACTTTAGCATATCCCGGCACGTTGATATAGTTGAGCAATTGTATTCTCATGGGGTAGCAACCCTGCCACGCGTGAATCACGTTCATTAGAACGGAAGGTGTTAATTGAGCGACATGACGCAAAGTTGCACCGCCTAAATCTATAATCAGTACTAAACCGTACAAGGATGCTTCAACGCTGTCTCTAAGGTCAGATCTATGATTACAGTTGAGACCTAAAAAAAAAATAATCCGTCCGGAAATATGAATAAATTCGAAATACCTTGATCGCGTTAAATGAATATAATGTTTGTGAGATTCGAACAAGTGTGTTATTAATAATATTATATGATAATATTTTAAAATTAGAAAAGCTATGAGAGCCGATCGCGCGCCGAAAAATAGCGCCAGGAGGATCCTCTTAATTTAAGATGATATTCCTAATTTACTCTTATTTTCGGAAAAAATGTATTAAAATTTAAAGAAATTTCTTAAATTAAGAGGATCCTCTTGGCGCTAAAAGTACAATTTTTTCGGTGGCGGATGTATGTGTGATTAAGACCGCGAAATTTAAATGTTTCACTGTCTTCTAGTAGTAATGCACGAGGCACGAAATTTTGCTTAGCACCTTGCTAAGACTTATTTAGAAACCTCTACTTGACATATTATTTCCTATACTGCCCTTCCTTGAAGAGATGTATGCGAGTATCTTTCGCTTATACGTACCCCGAAAAAATTGTATTCTTAGCGCCAAGAAGATCCTCTTAATTTAAGAAATTCCTCCACATTTTAATATATATTTTTGAAAATAAGAATAAATTCAGAATATTATTTTAAATTAAGAGAATCTTCTTGACGCTATTTTTCGGTGTTCTACGTATACTAATGGTAGACAACGACCTTTTTCGCGTCGGCGCATATTATACTTAATATAATATAAATTTAGATATTATACTTAATATAATATAAAATTAGATATTATACTTAATATAATATAAAATTATATTATATTATGTTAGCAATATATAATATAATAATTAGGCTATAAATAATACCTTAATTACTTCTGCTATTGTAATTATGTGTGGGTCATGCGCAAGACGAATGATGATTACCAATCTTCCTTGATCGTCCAATTTTCGCAGAGGCAAACAAGTACTAAGAGTAACAAAGTTTTTTAAAAAACTTACAAATTTTTTAGTTCTGCAATTAATATAACAAATGTTTTTGTTGGAACTATAAAATGAATATTATGTTGTATTAAGCTAAGTTTTCAAAAATCTTATAATTCTGAAGTGTTCGATATAGGTATAAATTAATTAATAAAATAATAATATAAAATTGAGAAAAATATTTTAGGAAAATTCGACTTTAAAGTTAAAGAATTAATTATTCGGATAAAATTACAATAATACAGGGTATTCAAAAAATAAAATTTTTGGCGTACATAAAAATAAACAAAAAAAATCTTAATTCCAAAATAGTACTTTAAAAATCATTCTCAATTGTTAAATAAATTTGATCTACAGCAGATCTACTTTTGAAGTATTGCTCGTTGCTCTGTCATACATAAAATGAGTCTCTTATTTTTAGATATGTGTAAAATTTAGCTAAACTTAAACAACAAAAAACCAGACATTGTCAACACTTACAACTTCAAAGTAATGAGATTGAAGAATGAGTAGATTAACTGTAAATTGTTATCAAAAAACTAAAAATTATCAAAAAACTCTTTGACCTTACAAGCTCCTACGATAAGAAAGATCGCGTATTTTATCATACAATACACATTTTTAGTATGTTTCATCTATAACTCAAATATAAACGGATTTTCGAATATTATTCGTTAAGACTTTTCGGGTTATTTTTACGAGTATTACATATACTTCTAAAATTTGGTACCATCTTTTTGTACACCCCGTACAAGGCATTCTATATACTAACAGATTATTAAAATAGATACAAAATTTTAAAATTGCATTTAAGTTTTGACGGTCTAACTTATAAATTACAAGAATTAAATTCGGCATTATTATTATAAACATTAGCATCTTTATAATGATATTTTCGAATTGTTACCCCAAATCAAGCAATTCCTGTAATTTCGGTTGTAGTGGATCTCTATCCGCATACCACTCTGATATTTTAGCTCGTTGCATTTGATAATTTTGCATTTTTGTTTTAGTTTCCTCGATATTAAATTTACAGGCTCTCAAAAATCGCAAAATGGAGAAGTCATCTGCATTTAAATTTACATATTCTCTAAATAAAAGTTATAATCGAAACATTGGATAAATTTTATAAAATCATTAATTTAATTTCAGAAACAGCATACATTTCCAACATTTTTTAAATAGAGTAATATATTACAATATTTCTTTCACTAAATTCTATGTGACAAAAAATAGTCAAAATTTTTATTTAAATTATAATTTAATTACTTTATTTTTATCTCTCTGCAATATTACGCAGTATAAAATGTTTAATTTATAAATTGCAAAAATTAATCTTGAGCATTGAAAGATATTAATATATGTATATAAATTTATTGTACCTGTTTTTATTTCTATATCATAATTGCTAAATCAAAAACTTGTAATTCTAAGTATGCTATTAGTCTACATATACAAAAAATATTAACACATAACACGAAAAAATATACGCGAACAAAATGCGCTCATTTTACGATAAATATTATACTTGTGTCATTATTTATAAAATTTACTTTAAGCAAGATTTTCAAGTTACCTTTCTGTAATAAAATCATGTAAACATTTGCCATCTATTTTTTAATAAACACGAAAACTAAACAAATTTTACATAATATAACATTATGCTTCATTATACTCCATATTAATGTATTAATTCTATTTAATGACAACTTTCATGCTGTGGATTAATTTTACTGTTCTAGAACTACATCCTAACTAAACTGTCATTTAAAAAATATCATAGAATCAGTAAAACTATTATTTTTACCAGTTCGTGCGCGCAAATCACGCTCTTGAATCCATCGTTTAATCTCTGCGATAGCGTTTTCTCTACCTTCGTCAGATTCATTTAAAACCTTTGCTGCGTATTCCTTTTGCTCAGCCGTCAACTTAAGCGGAAATTTATCGGACGAATTTTGAGATTCAGCCATCGTAACAATAATCGCGGAATTTCTTCTACTGACACTTTCGTATCGAGAAAACAACTGCGATTGTCAGAAGAATACTACGTGATTTATAAAACGAGCTTGTCTTTCGCGCATGCGTAATATGATAGCGATATGCATATGTACATGTGCTTGTTCGTTGGACAGATTTATGTGCTTTATTCATTATAGACTAATAATATTATAACCCTTCATCTGCGAACATTTTTATTCTCTAAAAAGAACCGACAATTAAAAATTTATAAATATATTTATAAATCGGAAGAAAGAAAAGAATGCAGTTTTCAGATGATAGTTCTAGTTGAATGAATCATAAAAAATGACCATAAAAAGAGAGAATAAAGTTTTTTATTTAAAAGAATATCTACAATTAACTGATAATAAATTTCGCTAATTTATCAAAATTTTATTTCTTTTAAGAATTATGTATAAACAAATTTTACTCATATAAAATAATTCTAAATATTAAATGCCATATAAATATATGTAGACATAAATACATACGTACATATACATAAATATATAATATATTCATAAATATACATATACGTAATATTTTTATAAAAGATATTAATTTATTTTAAGCACATTAATTCTACATTTCTTAATTATATTCTCCGTTACTTCCTGTTTTCCAAAATATCAAAATATATTTTTGCGGTGTGCGTTAAAACATAGTAATGTGTATATAAATATTTTAGTTTATTCCATTCCATTTTGATGACTACTTCAAAATTGGTTTATATTTTTCATCATCGATAACCCATTCGCGATTCTCTTCAATTACTTTCTTCCAATATTCTGGAAATATAAGAAACACATTACACAATATAAATTTGTAGGCACTATATAAGTATATGAATTAAGACTTTTATTAATTCATATACTTAATTCGCTACGAAAAAAATCCTTTATTGTGAATCACAAATAAATTTATTACTTTGCCATAATTACCTATTAAGTCTTGAATTGTACCATCAGTTCCGCCATATTCGACCGGCAAAATATTAACTGGCATATCTTTGAAACATTCATGCGCCGTCTGGCGCGAATAGAAATGAAATCTTTCCCTCAGTTTTTTATTCAAAAAATATTTGGTAAGTTCCAGAAATAATTTAGCATATCCCGGCACGTTGATATAGTTGAGCAATTGTATTCTTACGGGGTAGCAACCCTGCCACGCGTGAATCACGTTCATTACAACGGAAGGTGTTAATTGAGCGACGTGGCGCAAAGTTGCATCGCCTAAATCTATAATTACTACGAAACCGTACAAGGATGCTTCAATGCTGTCTCTTAAGACTAGATCTACGACTACAGATGAGACCTAAGAAAAATTAATCCGTCCGAAAATATGAATAAATTCGAAATACCTTGATCGCTACAAACGAATATAATGTTTGTGATAAGCGTACGTATGTGCTATTAATAATACTATATTTTAATATTATTTATAGCATTAATAATATTATAATATTAAATTATAATATTATTAATGTAACATAATATTCTAATATATTATGCTAATAATATTAAAATAGTTATACTATAAATAATACCTTAACTGCTTCTGCTACTGTAATTATGTGTGGGTCATGCACAAGACGAACGATGATTACCAATCTTCCTTGATCGTCCAATTTTCGCAAGGGTAAACAAATACTAAGAGCAAACAAAATATTTTAAAATACTTACACATTTTCTATATTAGTTCTGTAACTATAATAGCAAATTATTTTGTTGAAACTATAAAGTAAATATTATGTTGTATCATTAATCTAAGTTTTCAAAAATCTCATACCTCTGAATTTTTCGATATAGGTATAAATTAATTAATAAAATAATAATATAAAATTCAGAAAAATATTTTAGGAAAATTCGCCTTTAAATTGATAAAATTATTCATTCGGATAAAAGTACAATTATACAGGGTATTCAAACAATAAAATTTTAGGCATACATGAAAATAAACAAAAAAGTCTTAATTCCTAAGTAATACTTCAAAAATCATTTTCTATTGTTAAAGAATAAATTTAATCTATACAGCAGATCTACTTTTTAAGTATTGCTGGTTGCTCTGTAATACATAAAATAAGTCTATTTTTTAGAGTCTTATTTTTAGATATGTGTAAAATTTAGCTAAACTTAAACAACAAAAAACCAGACGTTGTCAACATTTATCATTTCAAATTAATGAGAACGAAAAATGAGTAAATAAATTGAAAATTGTAAGCAAAGAACAAAATTTATCAATAAACTCTGACCTTATAAAAGCTCGTGAGAAAAAGAAGATCGCAGAAAGATTTACCATACAATACATATTCGAAATGTGTTTTATCTACAACAAAAAATGTTTTATAACTAAAATATAAACAATTTTTCAAATGAAAATCTCTCCTCCAATTTTAAAGTCGACCAGACTAGCAATAATTTATTTTAAATAATTAGTTAAATTACAACGTTTCGGCTGTCATGGCAGCCCTTTTCAAGTAATCTATAAACAATTATATACATATAAATATACTCTTAATGCGCTTAATCATACAAATAATTATAAACTTACAAAAATATATATGTTTACATACCAGATTAATACAATAAATCATATTCACAGCAAACCCCCGACAAAATTAACCATTGTTTTGATGAACAATGTATAACTGACAGAAGTAAGCACGAAATAAATAGATGTTGATTGTTAGCAGGAAACTTAGTCACTACGCGTTGAGAAAATAGAAAACCAAAGTACTGTGTCTTTCGCAATTTTTAAAACGTCAATACAAAGTCAAATAAATAAATAAATAAATAAATAAATAAATAAATAAATAAATAAATATGTAACATATGACAATATAATATATTAAATAGCTTCAAGAACGCGATCATAAATCCCACTGAAATTCTCCGTATCTTTTTGTAAATTAATGCTTTTTCTTTGGTTTTTTATATAGAACATTTCTGCTATTTCTCTTTTTCTTGTTTGTTTTTCTTGATGCAGAATCACAGGAGAATCCCAACGGAACTCATGATCGTTGCAAGTCCAATGCAAACTAACAACTGAGTGTGATGTCGTGTCTTTTTTTATGTTATTTTTATGTTCCTTAATACGTGTTTCTAAATGTCGCTTTGTTTGTCCAATATATGTAGAGTCACAATTCGCGCATTCGATCTTATAAACGACATCGGTTCTTTTTAAGTTATCAATACTATCTTTTCCTCTTTTTATCAATGTGTCTAATTTTTTTGGAACGGTATATAATACACCGGTATATAATACATACATACTGGTCAACTTTAAAATTGGAGGAGAGATTTTCATTATTTATTACTGGCGACTCTTAAGGATTATTATTTGATTTTTCAAATATTATTAGTTAAGACTTTTCGGATTATTTTTACGAGTATTACATATGTGTAAAATTTAGCTAAACTTAAACAACAAAAAACCAGACGTTGTCAACATTTATCATTTCAAATTAATGAGAACGAAAAATGAGTAAATAAATTGAAAATTGTAAGCAAAGAACAAAAATTATCAATAAACTCTGACCTTATAAAAGCTCGTGAGAAAAAAAAGATCGCATAAAGATTTACCATACAATACATATTCGAAATGTGTTTTATCTACAACAGAAAATGTTTTATAACTAAAATATAAACGATTTTTCAAATATTATTAGTTAAGACTTTTCGGATTATTTTTACGAGTATTACATATACTTCTAAAATTTGGTACCATCTTTTTGTGCACCCCGTACAAGGCAAGCTATATGTTATAAAATTATAAAATAAATACAAAATTTTAAAACTGCATTTAAATTTTGTCTAATTTATTAATTAAACGAATTGAATTCGGCAATATTATTATCACCATTAACATCTTCATAATAATATTTTGGAACTGTTACCCCAAATCAAGCAATTCCTGTAATTTCGGTTGTAGTGGATCTCGATTTGCATACCATTCTGGTAATTTAGCTCGTTGCATTTGATAATTTTGCATTTTTGTTTTAGTTTTCTCGATATTAAATTTGCAGACTCTCAAAAATCGCAAAATGGTGAAGTCATCTGCATTTAAATTTACATATTATCTCAAATATAAATTATAATCAAAACATTGGATAAATTTTGTAGAATCATGAATCTAATTTCAGAAACGGCATAGTTTTCTAACATTTTTTTAATAGAGAATGTAATATATTACAACATTTCTTTCACTAAACTCTATGTGAAGAGGAAAAGTCAAAATTATTATTTAAATTATTATTTAATTACTTATTTAATGGTATCTTTCTGCAACATTACGTAGTTTAAAATGTTTTATTTATGAATTGCAAAGGTCTTGAACATTGAGAGATATTAATATCCGTATAGATAATTTGCACTTGTTTTTATTTTTACATCATAATTGCTAAATAGAAATCTCGTAATTCTAAGTATGCATTTAGTCTTATTGTTAATATAGAAGGATATTATTTCATTATATAACACTGAAAGATAACACGCGAAGATAATACGCACATTTTATAAATACTTGTGTAATAATTTTAAAATTTAACTTTAAGAAATTTTCAAATTACCATTCTGTAACAAAACCATGTAAGATTTGCCACCTATTTTTTATTAAACAAAACTCAACGAATTTTACATAACAATACATTAAGCTCCATTATAATCCATATTAATGTATTAATGCTACTGAATATTAACTTTTATGCACTGGATTAATTTTAATGTTCCGGAACTAATGACTATCTAAACCGTCATTAAAAAAATATCGTATCAATGTTATTTTTACCAGTTCGTGCGCGCAAATCACTCTCTTGAATCCATCGCTTAATCTCCGAGATAGCGTTTTCTCTATCTTCGTCAGATTCATTTAAAACCTTCGCTGCGTACTCCTTTTGCTCACTTGTTAACTTAAGCGGAGAATTATCGGAACAATTTGGTGGTTCCGCCATCGTAATAATAATCGCAAAACTTCTGATCTACTGACACTTTTCGTATCGAGGAAACACTCGCGTCTGCGACTGTCAGAAGAATATTACGTAATTTATCAAGCGAGGTTGTTCTTCGCGCATGCGTAATAAAATAATGGCGATATATATGTGTGTACATGCGTGTTTGTTCGCTAGATGACATGTGAATATGCAATATTCGTTGTAGACCGTGATTGTATTTGTACGAAGAACTTTCGACGCTATATAGTTTCATCATCTTCAAATGAACTATACTTAATAGATATATAAGATATGTAATCGGTCTTTCGCGCATGCGTAATATGATAGCGATATGCATGTGTACATGTGCCTGTTCGCTGGACAGATTTATGTACTTCATTTATTATAGACTAATAATATTTTAACTCTTTATTTGCGAAGATTAATATTCTCTAAAAAGAACCGACAATTAAAAGTTTAAAAATATATTTATAAATCGGAAGAAAGAAAAGAATGCAGTTTTCAGTTCTAGTTGCATGAATCATAAAAAATGATCATAAGAAGAGAGAATAAGGTTTTTTATTAAAAAAATATCTACAAATAAGTAATATTAAATGTCGCGAATTTATCAAAATTTTATTTCTTTTAAGAATTATGTATGGACAAATTTTACTCATATAAAATAATTCTAAATATTAAATGCCCCATATATATATATGTAGACATAAATACATTCATACATATACATAAATATATGATATATTATTTCCACATATATGTAATATTTTCATAAATAATATTAATTTATTTCAAGTGCATTAATTCTATATTTCATTAATTACTTTTTCCGTTACTTGCTGTTTTCCAAAATATCAAAATATATTTTTGCGGTGTGCGTTAAACATAATAATGTGTATATAAATATTTCAGTTTATTCCGTTCAATTTTGATGACGAATTCAAAATTGGTTTATATTTCTCATCATCGATAACCCATTCGCGATTCTCTTCAACTACTTTTTTCCAATATTCTGAAAATATAAGAAATCACATTACACAATATAAATGTGTAAGCACTATACAAGTATATGAATTAAAACTCACATCGTTATTAACTTTAAAAAATATTACTTATATTATGATTTTAAATATTATAATCATGTATGTATAAAAAATACTCGCATTTATTTTTCTTCGCCACGAAAAATATCTTTTATTGAAAATCAGAATTGAATATATTCTTTTGTCATAATTACCTATTAATTCTTGAATTGTACCATCAGTTCCGCCATATTCGACCGGCAAAATATTAACTGGCATATCTTTGAAACAATCATGCGCCGTTTGGCGCGAATAGACACAAAATCTTTCCCTCAGTTTTTTATTCAAAAAATGTGTGCTAAGCTCCACAACACATTTAGCATATCCCGGCACGTTGATAGAGTTGAGCAATTGTATTCTTACGGGGTAGCAACCCTGCCACGCGTGAATCACGTTCATTACAACGAAAGGTGTTAATTGAGCGACGTGGCGCAAAGTTGCATCGCCTAAATCTATAATTACTACTAAACCGTACAAGGATGCTTCAATGCTGTCTCTTAAGACTAGATCTACGACTACAGATGAGACCTAAGAAAAATTAATCCGTCCGAAAATATGAATAAATTCGAAATACCTTGATCGCTTCAAACGAATATAATGTTTGTGATAAGCGTACGTATGTGCTATTAATAATACTATATTTTAATATTATTAATAGCATTAATAATATTATAATATTCAATTTAAAAACTTATGCAAATTTAAAATTAATATAAAATAAAAAGAAATAAAAAAATTTTATTTAAAAAAACTGGGCGCGCTGCTAAATAATATTCTAATGATATTAAAATTAAATTGTTACTCTTAAACTCATTGCAGCGCGCCCAGTTTTTTTAACTAAAATTTTTTTATTTCTTTTTATTTTATATTAATTTTAAATTTGCATAAGTTTTTAAATTTTAATTTTTTATAAAAATGTTTATTTATTCGCGCAATAATTGGACATTACTTTTTGTAGAGATATTAATTTTAGAATATAAATTTTTGTCAATTGATAGACTTTTTTACTTAAAAATACTTTTTTGTTTAACACTTTTTCACATGGCGCATGGACTTGGCATCTTGTTTATCTTTTTTTTAAAAGATAAGTTTTTTTATGGTACAATTCTACATTTGCATATTTAAATTTTTATTGATTCATTATACGACTCTATATATGTCTGCAACTTTAATTTTCCACTGGTACAAGTTTCTACTTTCACTTGGCGCAATTTTTTTTTTATTTCATTACTTTTGTTACGATTGTACATGGGTTTATAATCGATAATTTTTCATACAATTCTATTGTACATGGATTTGCAATGGATAATTTTTGTTAATGGCGTGCCCTTAACTGGTCGCCTTTTTTTACCTTTTTTAAAGGTGAGTTTTTAGAGATTATATCATTCATTTTTGTATATGATAAGCATCTTTAAATAAATAAGCAAATTCAATTTTTCTGGCATTTTCTTATTTTAGGTACATATATATCCAATAATTAATATACAAAATTAAATATTATTCATCACACAATTTGTATCAAAATAATATATTTTTAAAAATTTATTTTAAATTTATTTAATCATTTTTATCATTGTGATTGTAGTGGCAAGGATTTTATTGCTCAGTGTCATTGCAAGCATCTGGCCTGTATATACCATAATATATTGTGTAATACATTGGCTAAGTATGACAATATGGATTTTGATAGATTCCCATGGAATATTGGAATTTTGTCAGACTTGCAGTCATCCACCACATATGCAGCCTACAATTAAAGAACGCATTTATTCCATATTATTTGCTTCCGTTATTGGCATAGTGCACATTTTTATATATCTCAATGCTGTAGATAGCAAAACATTTTGAAAACATCTATCTTTCTATGTTATCTGCTTTTTTGAAAATATTGCAGCAAATTTATTATGGCAATATGCTTGTCCTCCTGCAGTTAAAGAGGCTTAGTACTTTAATATAATCTTTATTATTTGTATCATTTCCTTTTTCTTGGGAATTACAACAATGCTTTTGTACTATATTGTCTTGCATCCCTCAAAAAGACAACATACTTCAAACGCACCAGTTCAAGCAATGTAACTTTGATATTTATTTACTTTAAAAAATGAGAGATAAATTATACAATATGCAATTAACCTTATCTTATGACTTTTATAAATCTTATGATAAAATCTAACTCTCTCTTAATCTTTATTATGAAAAGAATCTCGGTATTATATGAAATAATTTCATTGTAATTAATAGTTTAACTTTCAAAAATTTTGCAAAATAAAATAACTCATACATTGTATTTCTACCATATATATAAAAAAAGATAGGTAAATATAAATAAATAAATATATATTTATGATATACAATAAATAAATATATATTTATATATATATATATATATATATATATATAATGTTGGATTTTTATTATATATATATAATTTTAAAAATCTTTTTTATATGCTATTGAATTTTAATACATACAATTTTGATTATATGTATTTTAATTGATTATATTTATAAGTATTTTTATATTATCTTAAAAAGACTGCATAGAATTATTTGTGCGACACTCTTATATGTATGTATAATTAATAGGGACCAACTACACATTTTTTTTCCACTGAATAAAAACAATCTCAATATTAAAATTAAATTATAAAAAAGATATTGTGATATTTTATTGATGAGAAATGTACATTTATAATTGTATTAAATACAAAAATAAACATGCCATGAATTACTATATATACATATTTTCATAATTATCAAACTTAAAAATATAATATTGTTACCAAAGAAGAAAGCACTATTTAAAAACTCTAAAAGTTCATAATTTGTTAAATTAGTAATTAAATACTGCATTTTGTATAATTTTTAAGCTTTATTCTTTTATTTTTCTTTATTTAATTGAATAGATATTAACATCCAATGTAGCATACAGATTAAATTAACAACCAAAAAAATAAATCTTAACTTTGAAATATATTTTTGTTTCTTTTAAATATCAATCAACTGGATTTTGTACTACTATTAATATGAATTCTTAATCTGGTGCCATCATAATTTTATGTTTTTTGCTACGTATGCGCAAGAAAGTTAAATCATTTGTTGGATTCAAGTCACGTATGACAGAACGAGCTTTATCTGACAATTGACTTATCAAACCTGCGTATTGAACTGTTGTCGTATTATCTAATGTTGACTTTATAGGAATACCTAAAACAAATATAATTTTATAAATTTTTGTTTACAACTACAAGTAAATCATGTCAATGATCTCATGTAATATCTTCTGCATTCACCACTATTGTTCCAACTACCCTTTTATGAGACTGAATTTGTTTCATAGTTTCTTCAACCTCTTATAAATTATTTCATCGAAATTTATTAATAAAATTTTTATTTTAAATATTCCAATAACGGAAGCAAATCATATGGAATAAATGCGTTCTTTAATTGTAGGCTGCATATGTGGTGGATGACTGTAAGTCCGACAAAATTCCAATATTCCATGGGAATCTATCAAAATCTATATTGTCATACTTAGCCAATGTATTACACAATATATTATGGTATATACAGGCCAGATGCTTGCAATGACACTGAGCAATAAGATCCTTGCCACTACAATCACAATGATAAAAATGATTAAATAAATTTAAAATAAATTTTAAAAAATATATTATTTTGATACAAAAAGTGTGATGAATAATATTTAATTTTGTATATTAATTATTGGATATATATGTACCTGCAATAAAAAAATGCCAGAAAAATTGTAAAATAGTTCCTATAGCACTGATATTAGATTTATCTTGTTAAGCTAATCGAATGCTGCGATGATAACTAGCCATTGCCCAACCCATGCTCACAAGTGAGCTGATAATGCTACCTGCTTGATGTACAACTGAAAAAAATATAGAAGCTAATTAAGAAAATTATTAAAAATATATGCATACTCATACATAGGCATTTATATAATTGAAATATTATTGAAATAATAGCAAAATATCTGATTTTGTATCACAGACTGTAAACTTGCACATAAATTATTATGACAATAAATTTGCAAATAATAACATTAAAATTGAATGTAAAAATTGAAATTGAAAATTGAAAATATCTAACCCCGCACGCTGTCAATATAGCGGAGGGCAACTATCCGCCGTCTGTTGTAAAACGTGCGAGATGGACATTTCCAATACATGCATCTATTCATGTGTTGTGTACGTGTGATATATGTGTGCGCATGTGTTGTATACGTGTGAATACGTGTAGCACGATACTACTATGTTTGCGTGGTCGATGATGATAATAATAATGATGATGACGGGGACGTTTCTTAAAAGAAATTTTTCATATTTCGACTTTGCAATTATATATCTCTGCTTACAAATCACGTAGAGCAGAAATAAAGACACTTTTATTATATAATTCAAACTCAATCTATCGATTAAGTCTAGTATAAACTCGATTGCTTCAGCCGTTATTGAGAATTCGAAATATTATAAAGATTCAAATGTCCGACTCGCGTTAAGATACACGGTGTCTCGGCTACGCCCTTAACTGGTCGCGAGACACTACCGTGTCTCTTGATTATAACCCTTTATCTGCGAACATTTTTATTCTCTAAAAAGAACCGATAATCAAAAATTTATAAATATATTTATAAATCGGAAGAAAGAAAAGAATGCAGTTTTCAGATGGTAGTTCTAGTTGAATGAATCATCGCTAAAAAATGACCATAAAAAGCGAGAATAAGGTTTTTTATTGAAAAAAATATCTACAATTAACTGATATTAAATTTCGCTAATTTATCAAAATTTTATTTCTTTTAAGAATTATGTATAGACAAATTTTACTCATATAAAATAATTCTAAATATTAAATGCCATATAAATATATGTAGACATAAATACATACGTACATATACATAAATATATAATATATTCATAAATATACATATACGTAATATTTTTATAAAAGATATTAATTTATTTCAAGCCCATTAATTCTACATTTCTTAATTATATTCTCCGTTACTTCCTGTTTTCCAAAATATCAAAATATATTTTTGCGGTGTGCGTTAAAACATAGTAATGTGTATATAAATATTTTAGTTTATTCCATTCCATTTTGATGACTACTTCAAAATTGGTTTATATTTTTCATCATCGATAACCCATTCGCGATTCTCTTCAACTACTTTCTTCCAATATTCTGGAAATATAAGAAACACATTACACAATATAATTTTGTAGGCACTATATAAGTATATGAATTAAGACTTTTATTAATTCATATACTTAATTCGCTACGAAAAAAATCCTTTATTGTGAATCACAAATAAAATTACTTTGCCATAATTACCTATTATGTCTTGAATTGTACCATCAGTTCCGCCATATTCGACCGGCAAAATATTAACTGGCATATTTTTGAAACAATCATGCGCCGTCTGGCGCGAATAGAAATGAAATCTTTCCCTCAGTTTTTTTTTCAAAACAAATCTGGTAAGCTCCAGAATTAATTTAGCATATTCCGGCACGTTGATATAGTTGAGCAATTTCATTCTTATGGGGTAGCAACCCTGCCACGCGTGCAACGCGTTTATTAGAACGGAAGGTGTTAATTGAGCGACGTGACGCAAAGTTGCACCGCCTAAATCCACAATCAGTACTACACCGTACAAGGATGCTTCAACGCTATCTCTTAAGATTATGTCTATGACTATAAAGAAGACCTAAAAAAAATTCATCCGTCCGAAAATATGAATAAATTCGAAATACCTTGATCGCTTCAAACGAATATAATGTTTGTGATAAGCGCACGTATGTGCTATTAATAATACTATATTTTAATATTATTAATAGCATTAATAATATTATAATATTAAATTATAATATTATTAATGTCGTAATTATTATAATATTATTAATGTAACATAATATTCTAATATATTATGCTAATAATATTAAAATAGTTATACTATAAATAATACCTTAACTACTTCTGTTATTGTAATTACGTGTGGGTCATGCACAAGACGAACGATGATTACCAATCTTCCTTGATCGTCCAATTTTCGCAAAGGTAAACAAATACTAAGAGCAAACAAAATATTTTAAAATACTTACACATTTCCTATATTAGTTCTGTAACTATAATAGCAAATGATTTTGTTGAAACTATAAAGTAAATATTATGTTGTATCATTAATCTAAGTTTTCAAAAATCTCATACCTCTGAATTTTTCGATATAGGTATAAATTAATTAATAAAATAATAATATAAAATTGAGAAAAATATTTTAGGAAAATTCGCCTTTAAATTGATAAAATTACTCATTCGGATAAAAGTACAATTATACAGGGTATTCAAACAATAAAATTTTAGGCATACATAAAAATAAACAAAAAAGTCTTAATTCCTAAGTAATACTTCAAAAATCATTTTCTATTGTTAAAGAATAAATTTAATCTATACAGCAGATCAATACTTTTGAAGTATTGCTGGTTGCTCTGTCATACATAAAATTAGTCTATTTTTTAGAGTCTTATTTTTAGATATGTGTAAAATTTAGCTAAACTTAAACAACAAAAAACCAGACGTTGTCAACATTTATCATTTCAAATTAATGAGAACGAAAAATGAGTAAATAAATTGAAAATTGTAAGCAAAGAACAAAATTATCAATAAACTCTGACCTTATAAAAGCTCGTGAGAAAAAAAAGATCGCATAAAGATTTACCATACAATACATATTCGAAATGTGTTTTATCTACAACAGAAAATGTTTTATAACTAAAATATAAACGATTTTTCAAATATTATTAGTTAAGACTTTTCGGATTATTTTTACGAGTATTACATATACTTCTAAAATTTGGTACCATCTTTTTGTGCACCCCGTACAAGGCAAGCTATATGTTATAAAATTATAAAATAAATACAAAATTTTAAAACTGCATTTAAATTTTGTCTAATTTATTAATTAAACGAATTGAATTCGGCAATATTATTATCACCATTAACATCTTCATAATAATATTTTGGAACTGTTACCCCAAATCAAGCAATTCCTGTAATTTCGGTTGTAGTGGATCTCGATTTGCATACCATTCTGGTAATTTAGCTCGTTGCATTTGATAATTTTGCATTTTTGTTTTAGTTTTCTCGATATTAAATTTGCAGACTCTCAAAAATCGCAAAATGGTGAAGTCATCTGCATTTAAATTTACATATTATCTCAAATATAAATTATAATCAAAACATTGGATAAATTTTGTAGAATCATGAATCTAATTTCAGAAACGGCATAGTTTTCTAACATTTTTTTAATAGAGAGTGTAATATATTACAACATTTCTTTCACTAAACTCTATGTGAAAAGGAAAAGTCAAAATTATTATTAAAATTATTATTTAATTACTTATTTATTTGTATCTTTCTGCAACATTACGTAGTTTAAAATGTTTTATTTATGAATTGCAAAGGTCAATCTTGAACATTGAAAGATATTGATATCCGTATAGATTTTTTGCACTTGTTTTTATTTTTACATCATAATTGCTAAATAGAAATCTCGTAATTCTAAGTATGCATTTAGTCTTAATATAGAAGGATATTATTTCGTTATATAACACTGAAAGATAGCACGCGATGATAATACGCACATTTTATAAATACTTGTGTAATACTTTTAAAATTTAACTTTAAGAAATTTTCAAATTACCATTCTGTAACAAAACCATGTAAGATTTGCCACCTATTTTTTATTAAACAAAACTCAACGAATTTTACATAACAATACATTAAGCTCCATTATAATCCATATTAATGTATTAATGCTACTGAATGTTAACTTTTATGCACTGGATTAATTTTAATGTTCCGGAACTAATGACCATCTAAACCGCCATTAAAAAAATATCGTATCAATGTTATTTTTACCAGTTCGTGCGCGCAAATCACTCTCTTGAATCCATCGCTTAATCTCCGAGATAGCGTTTTCTCTACCTTCGTCAGATTCATTTAAAACCTTTGCTTCGTATTCCTTTTGCTCACCCATCAACTTAAGCAGAAATTTATCGGACGAATTTTGAGATTTAGCCATCGTAACAATAATCGCAGAACTTCTGACCTACTTGACACCTTTCGTTACGAGGAAACATTCGCGTCTGCGATCGTCAGCAGTATACTAGGTGATGTAAATCAAATGAGTATTTCTTCGCGCATGCGTAATATGATGATAGCGATATATATGTGTGTACATGCGTGTTTGTTCGTTAAACATGTGGATATGCCATATTCGTTGTAGACCGTGATTGTATTCGTACGGAGAACCTTCGACGCTATATAGCTTCATCATCTTCAAATGATCTATACTTAATAGATATATAAACATGTAATCGTAACCGACGAAAATATATTTGCACATGATGTGTAAGTCATTATTTTTGTGGAAAATATGCATATATTAGGAAAAAACAATACAACTTTATTATTATTTAAAATCATGTATACGCTTATGCAAGACATGTATGAAAAGCATAAAAAATTCTGTGTAAGATATCAATTACATAATCTCATTATAAGACCGTAACTCTTTATTTGAGAAAATTAATTTTTTATACAAAGAACCGACAATTACAAATTTATAAATGTATTTATATATTGTTGCAACTAGAGCGAATTGAAATTAGTCGCGCGCGTCTTTCGCCTTTTCGTTTTCTAAAAATATACGATCAGCTGTTCGAGCGGAAGGACAGAACACGCATCGATTGTCGACGCGGATTCTGTTTACAAACAGCGCTTGCCTCGTCTTGTCAGCTGTTTGGGTTGCCAAAAGCAAACGTGTAATCTTTATGAGTGTTTGCAGATTCTTCGGACTGGCCAAATGATTCGCGGAAATAACTGCGCAACAAATAATCGATCGCGTTTTCACACCGATAACACCTGCAATCTCGAATTCAACAGATTATAATTTATTTTAATTTAATGAAATATAAACGGGTGGTTCCGATTTACCGGGTTCGAACATACAACAAAAGAAGAAACCAGTTTTCAGATGGTAGTTCTCGTTGCATGAATCGTAAATAATGATCGTAAGGAATATCATTTCTTAGAAAAAATATATCTACAATTAGTTGAAATTAAATTTCGTGAATTTATAAATTTTTTTTTTTTTAGAATTATGTATGTACAAATATTACTCATACAAAATAATTCTAAATATTAAATGTCGATATATATATACATATATACATAATTTTTATAAAAAATATTAATTTGTTTCGAGCGCATGAATTGTATATTTTATTAACTCTCCTTTTTCGTTACTTGCTGTTTTCAAAAAGTTAAAAATATATTTTAGCGTTGTGCGCTAAAACATATTAATGTGTCTATAAATATTTCAGTTTATTCTGTTCAATTTTGATGACTACTTCAAAATTGGTTTATATTTTTCATCATCGATAATCCATTCGTGATTCTCTTCAACTACTTTCTTCCAAAATTCTGGAAATATAAGAAACACATTACACAATAAAAATGTGTAGGCAATATACAAGTATATGAATTAAGACTCACATCGTTATTAGCTTTAGAAGATATTAAGTAAATAATAATTTTAAATATTATAATCCTGTATGTACAAAAAACCATAGCATTTATTTTTTTTCACAACAAAAACATCTTTTACTGTACATCACAAATAAATTTATTATTTTGTCATAATTACCTATTAATTCTTGAATTGTACCATCAGTTCCGCCATATTCTACCGGTAAAATATTAACTGGCACATCTTTGAAAGAATCATGTGTTGTCTTGCGCGAATAGAAATGAAATCTTTCCCTCAGTTTTTTTATTCAAAAAATATTTGGTAAGCTCCAGAATAAATTTAGCATATCCCGGCACGTTGATATAGTTGAGCAATTGTATTCTTACGGGGTAGCAACCTTGATACGCATGAATCACGTTCATTACAACGAAAGGTGTTAATTGAGCGACGTGACGCAAAGTTACATCTCCTAAATCCATAATTAGTACTAAACCATACAAGGATGTTTCAACGCTGTCTCTTAAGATCACATCTGCGACCAAAGTTGTGACCTAAAAGAAATTAATCCGCCCGAAAATATGAATAAATTCAAGGTTTCTTGATCGCTTTAAACAAATGTAATATATGTGAGATTCGCACGAATGTGCTATTAATAATATTATAATATAATAGTTAGCATAATTATTATATTATTAGTATAATATTATGTTAATAATATTATCATAATTATGCTATAAATAATACCTTAGCTGCATTTGCTAATGTAAATACGTGTGGATCATACACAAGGCGAATGACGATTACCAATCTTCCTTGATCGTCCAATTTTCGCAAGGGTAAACAAATTCTAAGAGCAAACAAAGTATTTGAAAATACTTACAAATTTTTTTTTCAATTTTGTAATTAATATAACAAATGTTTTTGTTGGAATTATAAAGTGAATATTATGTTGTATTAAGCTAAGTTTCCAAAAATCTTATAGCTCTAAAGTTTTCGATATAGATATAAATTAATTAATAAAATAATAATATGGAATTAAAAAAATATTTTAGCAAAATTCGACTTTAAAGTGAAAGAATTAATCACTCGGATAAAATTACAATTATACAGGGTATTCAAAAAATCAAATTTTAGGCGTATGTAGTACGTAAAAATAAACAGAAAAGTCTTAATTCCTAAGTAGTACTTAAAAAATCATTTTCTATTGTTAAATAAATTCGATCTACAGAAGATCTACTTTTAAAGTATTGCTAGGTGCTCTGTCATACATAAAATGGATTTATATTCATTAGCATCTTTATAAGATTTTGGAATTGTTACCCCAAATTAAGCAATTCCTGCATTTTCGGTTGTAGTGGATCTCGATCCGCATACCACTCCGGTATTTTAGCTCGTTGCATTTGATAATTTTGCATTTTTGTCTTAGTTTTCTCGATATTAAATTTGCAGGCTCTCAAAAATCGCAAAATGAAAAAGTCATCTGTATTAAATTTACATATTCTCTCAAATAAAAAACTATAATCGAAACATTGAATAAATTTTATAGAAACATGAATCTAATGTGGCATAATTTTGGAGACGGCATATTTTTCTAATAATTTTTTAAATACAATTAGAATAAAATAAAAATACACACCTCTTTTATTGTATTACATTTCCGAAAAAAATATTAAAAAATTATTATTTTAATATTTATGCTCTAAAATTGTCGAACCGTCATTCAAAAATATCTAACAATAAGAATCTCAAGTAAATAAAATTATTAAGTTTACCAGTTCGTGCACGTATGTCGCTCTCTTGAATCCAATATTTAATTTCCGCGATGGCATTTTCTCGATTTTTGTCAGATTCATTTAAAACCTTCGCCGCATATTGCTTTTGCTCGCTTGTCAACTTAAGCGTAATATTATCGTGAAAATTTGGAGACTCCTGCATCTTAGCAAACAATTATAACCGCACAGAACTTAATCTACTGAGAGAACACACTCGAATTTGGGATGAATTCAAATGTCACGGGCTTTTATTGGATAAATTCGCGCATGCTCATCATACCGATGACCAATATATAGATATAGTAGTTTTCAAAAGCTCTTTATTATCAATGTTTGCTCATTATTTTGATAACAGTGCTCCTCAGTAAATGTTCTTCGTACAACACGAACGTATCTTTTATAACTCGAAAATATCTTCAAATTTTTATTTAAAAGTAATATTTGATCGATAGTTTAAATATCTTTTGATACAGTTATTGCGTATAATTAATTATTATATAAAATAGAGATGACATTATTTTCTTAATGTAACAGATTACTTATTGCAAACTAATTATTACGACTAAATTTCGAAAAGAAGTATTTATATTCATTTTTTATTTATTTACATAGACATATCTCAACAAACAGAAGATAAGATAATTTTATCAAAAAAACCAAACTTGCGTCACGTGATGATAACATTTTTACGTAATTATTTTGAAGAATATTATAAACTTTTATCATAGAAGTCAGATAAAGAGACAAATAGAATATTTATTATAATTTAATATTTTTTGTCCATCTTAATATTTAGCATCCATCTTTCGCACATTTTGGAGTTGGAATAATAACTTGCAGTCGACTTTATTTTGCTTCTAAAGTCATCCGTGTATATATTTTATAAGTAAATAATTTTGAATTAATTAATTAGCGCTAAAAAATTCTTTTAGAATTTGACTTAAGTTTCGATCTGATCAAATGAGTTAAAATCCACGTTTTGTAAATAATAACAATATATAAAAATATTATCATCACGTGACGCAAGTTTGGTTTTTTTGATAAAATTATCTTATCTTCTGTTTGATAAGATATGTCTATGTAAATATATAAAAAATGAATATAAATACTTCTTTTCGAAATTTAGTCGTAATAATTAGTTTGCAATAAGTAATCTGTTACATTAAGAAAATAATGTTATCTCTATTTTATTTAATAATTAATTATACGCAATAACTGTATCAAAAATAATTTCTTCTTTTGAATATATGATAATGAGTATTTCTAATATTTGTGACGAGTTTATTTTAACCCATACAGCACATAAGTTTGCAGCAATATTACAACAACATTGCAATATTGTACAGTGCATAGCAATATTGCTGAAATATTATATAGGCATGAATTTGCAATATATAATAGTTTAAACAACGTTGCAGCAACATTTCAGAAATATTATAAAAATAAAGTTCACGCAAAAAATATTAAGCACAGAACATTCAGTCCGATCATGTATTTGGCACATTTCCTATAATCCAATAGTAATATTACATATATATTTTATTGCATTATTGCTGCAATGCTATAGAACAATATTTCTGAAAGCGGACATTTTACCGTTGCTGCAATCTTGCAGCAAGATTGCTGCAACATTTCACAACGTTTATGCAATGAAATGTTGCCATAATGCTGCTGCAATCTTGTTGTGCTGTGGGAAGTCTATTAGGAAGAAAATATTCTTTGTTAACGCTAATTGTTACTTAAAATAAGAAAGGTAAAATAATAGTATATTGTGTATCAAGTGCGGAAAGTTGACAATTGGTCACGAGTGCGGGGGATGGACGCACGAGCCGAAGGCGAGTGAACAATTGTCAATCCGCACGTGATACACATACTATTTTGTATTACAAGTGCAGGCAAAGTGGCTTTGTACGCGTTTTCTGTGCGCGAGGTGGCCGATCGCACGCCGCCATCTTGCGGCGGCACGGTGCGAGAATAGCCGTAGGCAATGGCTTTGAATGCGGTTTATTCACTCACCGCGTCGCCGCTAGATGGCGGCGTGGGAAATCGGACGCTTTCCGCACAGAAAACACGCACACAAAGTGCCACTTTGCCTGCACGTGTAATACAAATAATAGTTTCCTTAGCAATAGAATGATATTTTCCTATACACGGATGACTTTAGCAGCAAAATGAAGTCGATTGCAAGTTATTATTCGAGCTCCAAAAAGTGCAAAAGACGGGCGATAAGTGAAGGTTTTCCGAAGTAGGAAAAGAATGAAAAAACTGAAAAAAATGCAGAAAGCGCGGAAGAGCATCACTCGAACGAAACGATCGAGCAGCCGATAATTACGCCCAGTGGCCATTAATAAACTAATCCTCCGAGAATTGCTTACGGGCCATCCGGAGCAAAGAACCCTGCCGCTTTATCGGCCTTTAGAATCTCCGAGTGCTCAGGGCAATCGTCAAAGGAAGAGACGGATGAGACGGAGGCTGCGGGAAGAGGGGGCCGATTTACAAGGTTTAATGACTTGTGGTATCAAACGGCCGGGAGGAGAAAAAAAGGGGGATAAATGAGATGAGGTGGGTCCGAAGTCCCGGCTAATCACCGACGATATTAATGCGTGGCGTATGAAGAATGCGGCGAAAACCGCGCTTGAGTTCGGTAAATTGCTGACGCTTCCTCGGTGGTTGGAAAAAAAAGAAACGCACGACGGCGCGTCAACCGTTAATTGAATCATCCATTTTCGAATATGCCTGCGAAGAGGAATAAATTTGTTTCATGAGTAAATTACCCGTACAGCACAAAATATTGTGTTCCAAAAATATTTCTAAATATTGCGATAAATTAGTGCATAAAACATTTTAAAATGGTTTTAGGAATATTTTTAAATAATTTAAACATTTTTGGTGATAACATTGTTTAGAATATTTTCAAAAACTTGTAAAAATACTTTCGATAATTATTTTAGCTTTTAAGAAATATTTTGAAAAGATTTTTAACATCTTTTGTGCTGTATTAACTTCATACGGGTTTGGATTAAAAACCTATACGGAATTATTCGGTTAAAAAAATTATCTCGGAGAATATTCTTTAAATTAAGTCCTATTTTTAATTAACAATAGATATAAATACAATAATTATATAAATAGCGATAAGACACCTCTTTATCAATTATCAATTATCTTTTATCAATTTTTAATCTATTCAAAAATAAATACACTGCCATTTGATCTATAGTAGAAATTGTACACTGAAAAAAAATGTATTAACTTGACTAAACCTTTCGACTAAATATTATTTTGTTAATTGAATATGTAAATATTTAAATTAAATGTAACATATTAAATCTAACAAAACATATATTTAACAAAATAGTAATTTAGTTAAAAAAAATAGAATAATTAAGTTTTATGACACATTAAGTTACAATATAATTTGATGTAAAAAATATTTATTAATTTCAAATAAATAATTGATTAGGCAATATTGAAATAAATATTTATTAATTCAATAATTTTTTCAGTACAATTAATTTAATATTAGACATATTCCTCGTCTCGAGAGAATTTTCTGAGATACAATTTTTCCGAATAGTGGAAGCGATAAATCGATAATGATAATAACGACACCGGTTTAATCTCGAGTCAACGGGTGAAAACTCGTGTGAAAGAACGAAAGGAAAGAACCTTGGCATTAGATAGCCAGGGGGTGGTTCGCCCTTCATCATCGCCAGCAGGGACAGAGAGTCGTGTACGGTAATTTACCGATAATTTCTCAAATCGTTGTCCTTCGTGCAAGTCTGAATAAATCGAGAGAGAAATGATCCTCCTCGGGGAAGAGGAGCTGTCCTTGAGTAATATCTTCCTAATTACGACGAAGGGTCGTTGAAAAACGCGGATCCTCTAATTCATCGTTCGTTCGTAGGCGTACAAAAAAATGCCTAACGGTCTCGGAGATCCTGGATATACATATATATATATATTTCAAGCGTAGATCTCTTGAACCAACGACCACGAAGAATATTTCATACGACGGAGATGATAAATAATACCGACACACGCGATATCGCGTTTTCAGCATTAATATTTGTAAATTATGCACAGGATTGGTAATTGGAAAAAACATATGTTGCAATGTATCTATTTTTTTTTTAATTGTAATAAAAAAAAGTACACGCATATGGGGCGAAGAAAATTAAACGTACACAAGTAATGTTATTAAAATGTATATAGATATTTTTAATCAATAAAGTTTTTTTAATAATTTTAAAACAATAACTAATATTAAAAAAAATTAATTACAGATACTAATTTTAGATATTAAAAAATGTACATATAGGGGGAAAAATTAAATACACATGAGTAATGTATATTAAATGTAAATTGCTGCTTCAGGTCGGTAAAATAATTTTTAAATAAACAATTAATGTAAAAAAATGTAATTATAAATGTAATAATTTTAGATATAAGAAAATGTACACATACAGGGAGGAAAAGATTAAATGCACATGAGTAATGCATATTAAAATGTAAATTGCTACTTTAAATCGATAAAATAATTTTGAATAATTTTTAAATAAACAATTAATGTAAAAAAATTAATTACAGATGTAATAATTTTAAATTGCATTTATACACTAATTATTGTCGAAATAATGGTTATCGCCTGCATGAAAGACGGCGCGCTTTGAGGGTTGTTTGAAAATCAACGCGAGGCAAACGAGCCAATTGTAAACCGCTGAAATCCAATTAATTTCGCGGACAGTTGATTAACGAACGGCTACTAATGCGATGGGCAAATGCAACTCGCGCATGCGCGCGTTTCGACCCGCGCGTCGAAGGCCCGCGGACACAAAAGATGTGCTTTCGATTATTAATGAAGTGTCTTTGTCCGTAACGAAACGTACATTAACCGCTATACGGTTGGCGGTCGCCATATTTATTATACCGGGGTACCGGGGCAAATTTTTACCCGAAGTCATCCTTTCCAGATGATGATGCCACGAGTTCGCATTCCTATCATTAGACCAGTTGCGGAGGCGCGATAGTCCATAATGTATTTGCGGTCTTGTCTTAACGATATTCATGCCATATTTCGCGATGCAACTCCCTCTGTATAATTTAAGTTTACCTTCCGCGTTCTTATTCGCGGATACCTCGCGCGTACGCTTAATTGGAAAAGAGGATTAGATTTAAGTAAGGGGATCCTAAGCTAACCTAAGTTTCCTTCCTGTTTTATCGACAAAATGT